TATATGCAGTGTATTATTTGTTGAAACTGTACTTCCGATTTGATTTGAAACTGTCTCATTGCTATCTGTTTATCAATACAACTTTGAAAAAAAAATAAAACACTTGCAAATTAAATTCAAAGCATATTTAAAACCTTATATACCTTGATTAAGTTGGCTTCATTTCAGGGATACAATTATAGTTCAAGAAATGTAAATCTATAACTATATTACTATAATAAATAGAATCATGAATAAATATTAGTGATTCAGCAAGACCCAGTCTCAAACAAAAAATAAAAAAAGGTCTGGATGTGTAGATCATATGAAAGTCCTGGTTCTAATCCCCAGTACCAGAAAAAGAAAAGAAAAAAAGAGAAACAAAATAAAGCAACAAAATGTAAATGCTATGTGATTCCATCTATACAGGTACATAGAAAAATCAAAGTCATAGAAATAGAACATAGGATGGTGATTGCCAGGGCACAAGGAGGGGACATGGAAAATAACTGCTTAATGGGTTTAAGGTTTCACTTTGCAAAATGTAAAGAGTTCTAGAGATGGATGGTGGTAATAATTAAAAAATGGTTATGACAGTAAAGGTTATATATATAGTTTGCCATAATTAAAATAAGCTTCACACAAAAATGCTTCAGCAGACTATTTCTCAAATAAGTTTCTCCTCCTATATCTAAAATGATAATCAAATTATGAAGACAGTGTGTACACACTATAAAGGGTTAAAAATGGAACTACAAAATAACAACAATAATAGAAGACATTTAATGACATCTATGAAATGCTGAGTACTTTACATGGATTATTATTCATTCAAAATAACTGACAGAATTGAGTGTTTTAAGAGTTTAAGTCACTTTACTAATGATCTCAGCTAAAAAATGAGAGCCAGGATTCAAATCCAAGCTATCTAAGCCTATACTCTGGCATACCATCTGCCTGAACATCTTGGCATGAAAGGGCTGGTGAGAAGGTGCCAATACACTTAACAGACAAAGGAAAATAAAAGTGGTGATCTGTTAAGGACCTTCTCCATGTCAAGCACATATGGCATGTATGAGATTGAGATTGTAATTAGACCTCAGATCTAAGGAAAACCATATCAGGAGTGTTAGATATAAGACACAAGGATACAAAGAAGATAGAAGGCAGTAAGAGCTGTGAGTTACCTAAGAGATAAAAATGTCATGGTCTCATGAAAATACACAATTTCTAGCAAAAGAAAGTGAGAACAAACACTGACTCAATGAAACATAACTCAATGAAACATAGTTATTAAAAGCACTCTTTCAGGGCTGGAGAGATGGCTCAGTGGTCGAAAGCACCTACTTAGAACAAGCTTACCTAAAGCATCAGGGACCACGGTTCAATCCCCCAGCACCACATGCCAGCCAGCCCCGCCCCCTGGTGGGCTGAGCTGGCCACACACACACACCACTCTCTCTCTCT